GGCAATAGCAGTTATTAATGCTACTTTCTTACGATTTTCAATGTTTCGATCGTATACCATTACGCTGTATCCCTGTTCCCAATCACTCCTCCAAAGCGAATCATTAGGTGGTGGGCGTGACCCAACTTACGATCACCTTGAATCGTTGCAAGAAGTTTACCATGATCGATATGGAACTGATTAAAACATAGAGAATGCCTTTTGTTATCACGTGTGTCCAATTTCTCAAGTTCGGCAATTGCATATTTTCCTTCATTAAAAACATTAGAATTATCAACGAATACGTAAAGAAGTTCGGTGTTTATTAAAGGGGAGGTTTGGTACAGAGAAGTATTTATCTGTAATTTTTCGTTAGTGATAGTAATTTATTTGAGTGTAGTATTACATGCATATCGAAGCAGGAATGGAACTTGAGTATGTATAGAAAGAACACAAACCTCTAGTTGATTATCAATTTCGGCGCCGTATATCTCTGACACCTTGGATTCATCTTTTACATTTTCTTGCTTTTCCTCATTAGCTTTTGTTGAATAAGCCAACTGATGTGCTTTTAGGAAGGTAAATTGTTGAATAGGGCCTACATTAATTGTCTTATGTCCTGAAGTGCTGATAAATGGCGCAGTCTTAATTGGCTTTATCCTTTGACAAAAAAACGAAAATAACATTTTTTATATACCATGAACTAATCGAAATTTGATTTATCCACTGATTTTGGCCGATAGTGAAAAAAATCGGCTGATCGGTCCATTACGAAAATTTCCGATATAGAAAATGAATGAACCAAAAATTTTGATTCCGAAAAATTCCGGATTAAAGAACAAAATTAAATAGTACTGTAGGTTCGGCCAAGCCGACTAAGCCGATAAAATCTATCGGCTTGGTCATAGCCGAAAAATTATGCTCGGCCAGAATCATTACCTTTATAAAAAAAGAAATTTGAATTCTGACTGTCGTACGATCAAACAAGTCATGCGAACGGCTCGGCCCCAGGCTTACTAGCTGTAAAAACGTCTCGGCTCAAACTTTGGAGTTGCGAGCCGATAGGTTTGAGTATCGAATGGACCATATAAGGGCATGGGCAGAAATCAGGTGATTTCAATTTAAAAATTATCAAATCAAATTTATTATCTGTTATGACCTGATCAAACAAGAAACCCCTCTAAAATCAGCTGATTTCTGCCCGTTCACTAAGCTATAACGATGGCAGGGCCTAAAACTCAAGTTGTGACTGTCGTCCTGACAGGCCACCTTTACCATGAGCTGCCGATACGAAAGTATCGGAGCAGCATTTTGTCTCGAATCAATCACGGAGTATTCAATCATACGATGCATTGTCATGATTTATTGATTTATTGTTTTGTATTGTTTTGTCTCTCATTTTGGGATAAACTATTACTATGAAGAAACATACAGGTATCTCCCTTCTGCTATCGAGCAACCTACGCAGTTGTTTATAGAATCATGCAACATGCTCTTTCTTTCTTTCTCATTTTTCATTTACTTTTTGTATTATGACTGTCGTTCCGACAGGCCATAAATTATCATTATTTTGTGACTGTCGTCTCAACAGGCCACATTTAACGTTTTTCAGCATACAATCCTAATGGATCCCACCACCTACTCTTATTTATGACTGCCGTCCCGGCAGACCATAAAATTTTATCGCTCTAACGCGGGTAGGGTGGGAGGGATCGATATAACCAGAACGAAAGTCGGGTTTGCAGAAAAGACAGTTAATTCCCATTATTTTCCCGCTTGCTAAATATACTACGATCCAATTACCTCATAATTAACCGTTACTTCACTAAGACTAATTACTAATTACCTGATATCTAGTTAACCGATCGATCGAACATGTGATTGTAACCGGATGTTCGATCGGATGTTACATGATTCGAGACAAAGGCTGCCTCGATACTTACATACCGAGCAGTTGTTTAATTTCGTATGCGATTTAGTGACGTATTTAGGTAATATTTTCGATTAGTAATCGTTAGTAGGAACACAAGAGAAAGTAGCCTGCTAACTCGACTTTGTCTGGTTTTTTTATGTCATTACCATTTTTAGTTAATAAACATAAACAAAGTTTTGTCTAGTTTTTTTCATGGGTTACTCGGGTACTCATGCCCTGCAAATCTGAACCTTGTGATCGACCTCCGAAGTAAAAATTGTCCCTCTCTGATTGGTAAAATTTTATATCGAATTTATTTAACTTATTTCCTTGTAAAAATAAACTTTGAACAAGTTACTTTGACAACCACCCAAAAAAATTTGATGAAACTTTTTTTATTTGAATTCTATAAATCCATTGAATTCAAATAAAAAATTTTTTATTGAATTTGACTAGGTGGTTGTCGAGTTGTCGAGATATCTTCACTCAAGTTTAAAAAAAATTTGATACAGTTTAGGTGTTTTGATTTTCTTTTAACTTTGAGCAAAGATATCTCGATAACCACCTGGCCAAATTCGGTGAAATTTTTTTTTTTGAATTCTATAAATCTATAGAATTGAAATAGAAATTTTTATCAAATTTGGTCAGGTAGTTGTCAAGATATCTTTGCTCAAATTTTAAAAAAACTTAGCGTAGCTTTTATTTAATAGGCATTTTGATTTTTCTTTAACTTTGAGTGAAGATATCTCAATAACTACCTGGCTAAATTTGATAAAATTTTTTTTATTTTAATTCTATGATCTATAGAATTCAAATAAAAAACGTTTCAACAAATTTGGTCAGGTTGTTATCAAAATATCTTTGCTCAAAGTTTAAAAAAAATTTAATATAGCTTTTTAATTGGTGTTTTGATTTTTCTCTAAATTTGCAAAGATATTTTAACAATAACCTGTCCAAATTCAATGAAAGTTTTTATTTCAATTTTAGAAATCCATAGAATTCAAATAAAAAAGATTTTATCAAATTTAATCAAGTGATTGTTAAGAAATCTTTACTTAAAGATTTAAAAAATATTACTTTTATTAGTTTCACCCTTATTATAGACTTTTTGCAAATGAATTTTAAGATGTTTTAAGGTTATTAAATTCAGTATAATTTACAATAATTGGGACTATTAAGGTTTTTAACAGCTTATTATATTAGAAAAATTTTTTAGATACAAATTTATACAGATTTTCAAAAAAAAAAAATAATTAAAAATTTGCAAAAATCTGCAGCTCTATGTTTATAGTAAAAAAAATTTTTATAAATTCTGCAAAGATTTTATTGAAAATTTTTATAACACAAATCTGCACAAATCTGTAAAAATTTTATATAAAAGAAAACGAAAATGAGTGTTGTTAATCAAACATTACGTTTAAAAAGAAAAAAGTCTTTTATATCTTTAAATCATCAATCAGTTGCATTTTGACCAATCAGCAATGTACCCAGAAAAAATGCTGACATATATATACCCCCTTCATACAGTATACCACCTGAAAACAGTCAAGGAAAATACCCCGGATACACATGGCGAATAAATACGATACCTCTTTTTTTTTTAGAATTTTTTTTTAGTGTTTTTTTTAGCAATTGTCTTGTAGTGTTTCCTCTAGTCCTTTGGCATTTTACTAGTAAATTGTCTTATAGTATCTCTTTTATTCTTTGGTGTTTTGCTAGCTAATTGTCTTTGGTACTTCTCTCGGTCCTTTGGTATATCTAATATCAGATCTTCTTAAATGCACACTTTATAAATACACATACTATATAAATTCTTTCTAAATGCATAGCATTAGGCACGGGCCATGGGCTTTTTTTGAAGCCTCAAAGTGCTGGTCATATAGCAAACAATCATATGACTAGCACTTTGGGAAATAACTTCAGGAAAAGCCCATGAGCCGGCCCATGCGGAGCCCTATATGGCATAGCTTAGCCCTAATTAATAAGATCGCTATATACACTACAGTTGAAGCTCCCAAAATTGATCCTGTCAAATCTGATAAAGTATTAATCTATCAAGTCTGTTTCTGCTAGAGATGGGTGACAAATGACGAAACATTCGTCATTGAAATGGGTCATAAATTTTATATGTAATGTATGGCATTGGGCGTAATAAATGGTGTAAGAAAAAAATAAAAAATATGATTTTTCTCTAGGAATCATGTGAAGTTAATTTTTTTGTTCAACTCAATTCTATTTTTTATCCGATTGCCCGATGATTTGCTTTAATCATCTGGAAGTATCTGATATCGCTGAATGAATTGATTTTGTATGAGATTGTTAATTTTTAATTTTTATGGGATTAACTTTTTTGTAACGAACTGACGATTTAATAAAAAAAAAAAAAGTTCGTTACTGATTAAAAAAAACACTTTGTTTTAATATGAACGGGTGAACTTATAATTTTGAAAATTTGTTACGTATCACTTTATAGAAAATCATTTCACAGACACCTCATTTCATAGACAATCAATTCATAGACAAGTTTATTTTAAAGACAATTTACAGACAGTTCATTTTGCAGACCATTATAGACAATCTTTACTCCTGATCTTTTGAACAATTTTGAATGAATTGATTACCAAAATGACCATCTCTATGTGATGATTCTAAAGCCCAAAATCATTAAAATCCAATTATGGGGTCTCGAGATAATTAAGGTTTTATGTCAGTTTAGATATTTATTTAAGATAAATATCTAAAGTCTTAATTATCTCGAGACCTCATGATTGGATTTTAGCGATTTTGGGATTGTTAGAATCGTCAAATCAAGATGATTTTTGGTAATCAAATCATTTAAAACAGTTCAGAAGATCAGGAGTTATTTGCTGTTAAAGGTTGTCTATAAAAACGAACTGTCTGCAAATGAATTGTTTATAAAAATCTTTAAAATAAACTTGTCCATTAATTGATTGTCTATGAATGAGGTGTCTGCGAAATAATTTTCTATAAAGTGATATGTAGGCGAAAAATTTAAAATTCAGGACATCCAGAGGTTTTCATTAAAAGAAGATCGACTGTATTTTATATTTTATTGGACAAATCAATTTCGGCAAAAAGCGAAATCCGTGTTTAACGTTAATTACAGTATCGGTATGTAAAAGCGTATTTCACCTCCGTGATCATGGTGAGTTTTACTAGCTAGCAACTCAGGGTTTCACCTGTCGTATTATGAAAATTGTTACTATACACAACACAGATTTTGCCAATCAAGTTCACATATATGAAGACCATACGAATTTATTGTATATACAGTAAAACCCGTCCGAGTGAACTCTCTCGTGATAATAGTAAAAAAAGGGTGTGCATTTATAGAAAGCAAAGTATATACAGCAAAATCGGTATGCAGGTTTTATATCAGTATTGAGAGGTTACCGGATTTGAAATCATTATAAACTATTAGATTCATATAGCAGAAACTAAAGATGGGTGACGAACCTATTTTTGTGATGACGAAATGGTTTCGTCTGACGAAACTACTGACGATGATCTACATAGAAGGTTTATTAACTCGCAACTCAAGTTTCACCCTGTTCCTTCAATAACGATAACAATAGCGAATTTCTACATGCTATGTAAGTATAAATGTGCGTTAATTTAAAAATCTTGTCCGCGTTTAATTCAGTTTTCAATATTAGACGGTAAGTCTGAGTATTTTTACATCCAATTTGAATATACCGTGATTCCAAAAGTTCATTTCTTTTTCTTTATGTAATCGTATAATAAAAGAGACTGATCAAAAATTATATTCAAATACTTTAATTAATAATCAGTTTTCACCTAATCATCTAATCAATGTTTCTAGACAGAGTATTGAGAGTATCGGATCATGCTTTTCACTCATGACCATACTGTATGTACTTTTTTTTTTTATGTAAAACAATAATTTTATTGTTATCTTTTTAAGACTAACTAATTTTAAATTTGCATTATTTTTCTTAGGACAGGTTAAAATTTAAATTAATTAATTTACCAAATTATTAAATCTAAGATTTGTTTGAAACACAAGTCAAATGACCGAAATTCTATTAAAAAACAACACACGATCAATCGGTTAATGCAAACCGTGTTTATATATAGGAGTTTAGTTAGATAAACCAACCAAATGATACAATAAAATATGATAAAAGCCTAATTACAGTTGGTGTTTTTTTTTTTACTATTAAAAGAAGAAACATTAAGGTTTAATCTGCCAAAACAACCAATCGGTTCAAAACACTAGTATGCTTAAGGATGTGCTAATGTGGATATATTTGGTCGCAGAGCTTTAAAGTATAAATACGAAACCATTTTGAGAAAACGTAATTCATTGTCATTAAATATAATTTTATATGATCGAATATCGAATATCACGTCTTTAAAACAACATGCAAATAACAAATTTTCTTATTGGTACTACTAAAGGTTGTCTTTAAAAAAGTTCAATAACGATAATTTGTTCCTATTTTCGTGAATAGGCGTGCATTCTGCAGGTTCAACTTTATCGTTATTGATACACAAATTGTGCATTTATAAACCATGTGAGCAGCCTGAAAACAAAAATTACTTAAAGCGGACTAGTAAAGTAGCTAATACTGGTAATGCCGAACAATATGCTGTGTAATATAAAAGGATATTGTAAATATTGTCAAATAAAAGTATCGATATTTGCATACGTATATATATGTACGTTGCTACCAACCAAATATTCAAGAAATTTTATTGGTAGATAGTTATGCTTTAAAGTTGCTTAATGCGTTATTTTATGTATCGCATGTGCTACTGTTGAATTTTTTTTGTAAGCATTTACTGTACAAAGATCATAAAAGCATAATGCGCTGGGTTTTTATTCTCTTTAGGAATCCATTTACTATTATTATTAAATTGGAATCCGACCGCATATACTGACCGCATGCACTTTTGATCTTGCACCCATTTTATTATCTTGCCAATTTATACATATATATATATGTATATGAACGCATCCTTTATTTCCTATCTATATATACCTTGCTTTCCGCGAAAGCTCTTAATAAGGGAAATATATATATAATTTTAGAAAATCTGCTTTTGCAGTTTTGTTTGAGTCTCGCAGGTTTGTTGCTTTTGCTTATATGTTGACAATTATACTGTACTTATTTCAATTAGCGTACATACATATATTTTAGCTAAAGCCTCGAAGAAACTATTTTAGAAAATGTTATTAATTGCATAACCTTTATTCTCTTTCTTTATCATTCATTCAAAAACCCCATTTTGTCGATGGAAACTGTCTATGCGATTCATAATTATTGCGCTCAAAATGATGATGAACTCACGTTTAAGGTTGGTGATCCAATTTTAGTATTGGAAAAGGACGAAATGTACTGGGATGGATGGTGGCAGGTAACTTAACGAATTCTTCGTAGTTATTTTAGATTAAAATAAAATGATTGGAAATTATTCATAGGTTTAAAAAAAAACCAATAAAGTTTAAATGTCGATTTGATCGTTACAAATAAAAAATTTGCGAATTATTTGAATTATTTGAATTATTTCGATTTCACCAATTTCACGACATACGCGCTGATTATAATTGAATTACGGAACTATATAGGGACAAGATATCCTTGGACAAGTCGGTCTTTTTCCAATGAATTATACTAGTTATGAAAATCCAGCAACAGCATATGATAATGATAATAATAACAATATGAATAAAACAAATTCAGCCGAATTAATGAAAAATAACGGCAGTGAATTAACTACTATTCCTGAGGCCAAGATGTCAAAGCCATCCGCAAATGAAACGATTGCCGACATACAAAATAAATTACATCAGCTTGTGGCAAAGAAGCATCAATCAAATGAAAAAATCATTTCTGAACCAAAATCAGATGCCTCCGTTTGTAAAACTAATTCTGTTCCAAACTTAGCGATACGACAAACGTCTTCAATTACTCAACCACAAAAACCGTCACAAAGACAATCAAAAGGATCATTAAAAAATGGACGTTCCAGTGTATCTTCTACAGGATCTAATCATAGTGAATATTTATCTTCGCCTTCTAGGCATAATACTGGTAATATGAAAACTTTAGATTATTCTTCGAAAACGAATAACCCTCAAGGTAATCCACTGGCTTGGAACATGGAACAAGTATGTCAATGGTTGAAAGAAAAAGGATTTGATTCTGTAATAGAACATTTCGTTGGTAATTAGCATATACACTTAATATATAGTAAAATATATATTTTGTTAACAATGATTGCAATGACTGCAATGACTGCAATGAATGTTTGATAACCTAAACTATAATATATTTTTTGTATGTGAATTCTTCAGCAAATGATATCACTGGTGATATCCTCCTCGGTTTGGATTTGGATTCTCTCAAAGAATTAAACATTATGTCGTATGGTAAAAGGGTTCACATAATGAATGCTATTAATGCCCTTAAAGAATCATCTATCCTGAATAAAGATCAAGGCAATTCGGATTCATTACAGGTAAGGTTAATTTCTAGAATAATTTTATTGATTGTTAAATGTTAGTAAAAGTTTCTGTTACGAAACGTATAAAGCCTGACTTGTATATATATATATATATATATATGTGTGCTATATTTTTGCTATCGGCATTAAATGTTTAACTTGATATTTTTCTATATTTTTCTAATAATAGCTACGTCCAATTATGGAATCAACATCGATTAGACAAACAAATTCAGTTAATATACCAAATTCAGTTAAAATATCAGATAAAGTTGATGCAAGACCCGAGAGTTCATTTGTAAAAAGTAATGAACATACCAGTTGGCCACTACGGATAAATACTAACGAAAAAATCCAGGTCGGAGTTATTAAATGAATTCATAATAATATTATTGTAACATTTATTAACGTTAATTATTTATAGACATTTACAGGAAAAACTCATAAAAAAAAAAGTAGTAGAATATTTTCAAAGTTAAACTTCACGAATAAAGGGGATAAAAATAATAATAATAACAATAAATCAGTAAAAAATGAAACAAATCAAACCATCTTTTCATTTAATACTAAACCTGCAAAAAAAGGAAAGTCACAATCAATATCATCAGAAGGATGGGAGTTTTTGGTGGTATGGTTCTTTCTCACTTACTGTCAAAATATCTTTTTTTACACGTATATATACTTACTTTTATTTGTTTAGGAGGATGACTATGAAAAAAAACATAAGAATAAATCTAAATCTCTTTCTAAAAAGCTATCGATAGAACATTTGGTATTTTTTATGTCAGTTATAAGTGAACCCTTTTTTTCCTTATGTTGTTTGTAACTTTTTTTTTTATGTTTTTTTTAAAGGATAGAAATAGTTTGGTCGGAAGTCAATTAGGGTTGCCGAAATATTCTATAAAGTAAGTTTGGTTTTTTTTTTTAAAAAAAAAAAAGATTGATTATTCTCATTTATTTATTGACGTGATCCCACACGATTTTAGGAATGGAGATAACCATGATCAGCCAAATCGATTACATGTCGTTGATGAAAGTATCGGTGAGGACGAAGAAGCAATAAAAAATAATATTGGGACATCGGATTATGAAGGATGGCTTATGAAACAGGATGATAGAAGTAAATCATGGAAAAATAGGTTTTGTGTTTTAAAAGGGCAAACTTTGTATTATTTTCAGAATGATAAGGTAATATTACATCCTTAATATACTTAACGTTAGTCATAACTGTTAATATACTTAATATTATATTTATTATATATTTGAATTTAGATTACACAAACACCCCGAGCCAAGGGTAGTATCAATATCACAGGTTATCGCGTCGTTCCTGACGAGAACATATTACAGGGAAAATATGGATTCAAATTAGTTCATGATATTGAACGCCCTTACTACTTTGCACACGAAAACTTGGTAAAAATGAGGGAATGGATGAAAGCTATTATGAAAGCCACGATATCAAGGGATCCAAAATGTAAATAATTTTTATATTGTGTTAATAATTTTATTATCATCATAATCTAACTGTTTGTTTTTAATAGCACCAGTGTTTTCATCGTGTGATTTAAGTACCATGTCATTAGCCGAGGCTCGAAAACTTGTATCAGCAAATAAGAAGAGTTTGCAATCATCAAATGGTTCTGATTCACCAACATTAGAACGATCATTGTCACCAACTCTTTATTCAAATTCCAATAGTTTTAATAGACCGAATCCACAACATTCATCTCCGAGATGTAGGTCTGTTTCACCGTTACCTGAAATGTCTGGACAACCAACAACGATGCCACTTTCGAAATCCAAATCATCAACTTTTAAAAAACTTTTAAAAAGTACTAGTTTTGATAGTATCAAGATTTAATTATATATATGTAGGGTTTCTAACTTTGGATTTATAGTAAATAATTAATGTTTAATGGAAATAATTATAAAAAATAATACATATAAATATGCATTTATACATTTAAAAAAAAGTTATCAAGCATTCATTTGCATTTCTGTAATACTATTTCATGATAAAGGAGTTTTACTCTTAATCAATTCGATCGTTGTGGATCGCGATGACAGCATCAATAAAACGGTTATGCACATAAAGTAATCTACGGTCTTTGTTTGTTTGTTTGAAAAAATTTTGGATTGGTAAATAATTATTGGTATAAATTTTATTCATGCACTCTATTTTAGTTTATTCAATTAAATTATAATGTTGTAATGCCAATGAAACCGGATTTTTTTTATTGTTTTTTTTCAGCCTACGTACAACGAGTTTACTATCTGTTATATATATTGGCAAAATCCAGATAGAAGATTCTATATATGTACCAAGCAGGTAGAACGTAATACAGGTTGGAGATGCATGCGGTTTTTATTAATATAGTATTCATAATAATAAAAAGACGAATCAGAGCACATATTCGTGCAGATTTTATGTGTACTATTGTTAGTCTTAAATAGAATCTTGTTTATATTATATACTAACGCTAAGTTTATAAAACAAACACTATTTTATTCACACTAAACTCTATTTATTTTAATTAGTTTTTTTTTTTTTACTTCTTATTTTATTTTTCAAATTTTTTTTTTTTTCAAGTCATTCATTTATTAATTCATGTATTCTTGCAGAATATAATATCAAATTTCGCATCCCTGCTTGGGTTTCTTTATTTCAAAAAAAAAAAAAAAAAAAATCTATCGCAACTAAAAAGTTGCTAACTCACTCTTTAAACTAACCGGTTAATATACCCAGGCTTTCATCAACCTTTCACCAACCTTATCCTCGACATACTTTCATTATACCATACTAAACCGACTTCTCCCCCTATAAACACATACAGGATCGATTCCTCTACCCTTACATATTTCAGAATTTTTTCTTTCAGGCAAAAAAAAATTTTCTTTTTTACAACAAATATCTTGCTTGAATGCCTACTGAAGCTTCTACCTCTAGAGACTCTTATTATTCGTCTTTATTCGACGAATATATCGCTGCTTCACCACGTGAATCAACATGGAGTCATACTACTATTAATTCTGTTAAAAAACGACCCTCACTTAACTTGCATCTTCGCGAACCTAGCATAAGCAGTCTAAAACGGCAACCATCGTTTGATTGTCCTACTCCTGCATTATCTTCACTTAAAAATGCTCCTAATTATTCTAATCCGATTAATTCAGTATTTCATTATACTGCTAACGGTATTCATTCTCCTCCTCCTCATCCCAGTCCGTATGTCTTTACTCATTATAGTTCATACAATAATACTGGAACTAAAAACAGTAATGGTGGTATTGGAGAAGGAACTAAAAACAGTAATGGTGTTATTGGAGAAAGAACAGACGGTTTGACTGTACCTAATGAATATTTAAGAGAAAGTAGTAGAAGTAGGACTCCCTCTCTTTCTGGGAGTAGTATTGAAGATCGAAGTGAAAGTCGTAATCACAATCATATAAAAAATTCTTCCAGTAGTGATGAGAATTTACCACCAAAACATTCTATTTCACGACAACAAAATTCCTATAATGTTCATCCAGGAACCTTAAAGGTGCAACATGATCCATATGAAAATGATAGGTAATATATTTATTTTTATATATTTAAAAAAAATATTCACGTTCTAAACTTGTAAATGTATTGTAAATTTTTTAGAGACCAATATGGTTTCAAAAGATCTTATCAATGGATAAGCAAAAAAGAGTATATCGATTTTGAGGCTTCTTATTCACATATTTTACAACGAAGAAAACTTAAATGGGATGCAGTATTAAATGAAAATGGAGGATTAATACCCAGTAAATGTTCTAAAAGTAAGCCTCCGCTATATTATATATTTATATATTTTTATATATTGTTAAATCAAGTTTTTAACAATAATTTTTTCGGCACAGTGAAGAGATATGTTCGTAAAGGAATTCCACCGTCGCTTCGAGGAAGGGTTGGTTTTATTTTTAAATATATATCTTGATAATAAACCGTTTATACTGTTAATTAATTTTATGAATTATCATTTTCAGGTATGGTTTCATTATAGTGGTGCTGAAGCCAATATGAAAAGTCATTCGGGTCTTTACCGACAACTTGTGCTAAAAGCTCAAGATCCTGGATTGGAAAACGAATATTTTGAAGTGATCGAAAGAGGTTTGATACTTTTTCTAAAAATTGCAACTTATGCGAATATATACAAATATATTTATTAATACACATATATATATATATATATATATGTAGACCTTCACCGTACTTTTCCTGAAAATATAAAATTCAAATCCACCATTGTATCCGATGACGGCAATTCACCTGTTCTTTCAACAGACAACGTTCCAATTATTCAATCCCTTCGTCGTGTTCTTACAGCTTTTGCTCTACATTCCCCCCATATCGGTTATTGTCAATCCCTTAACTATATAGTTGGGATTCTTTTATTATTTATGGAAGAAGAGAAAGCATTTTGGATGCTAGTGACTATTGTTCATGATTATTTACCAGAGAACATGTACGATGTCACAATGGAAGGTTCAAACGTCGATCAGGCCGTTCTCATGTCACTTATTATGAGAAAAATGCCTGATATTTGGAATAAAATGAATGGAGGTGCTAATATTGATATAGAAAAATCGGATGGTAATATGCCAACAATTACTCTAGTAACTAGTCATTGGTTCTTAACCCTTTATATCAATATTTTACCAATTGAGGTAAATACAATATTATCTACTATTTTGATTATAATGCAAATATATTCTCTAATATGCACATATATATTTTAAAAAGACATTACTCAGAGTTTGGGATTGTTTCTTCTAGTATGATAATAATATTTCTTTTCATCTCATTTTTTTTTTTTATAATGCTAATCGACGATTGATATTAAGCAATTACTATATTTTTTATTAACAGTGAAGGCAACAAAATACTTTTCCGTGTTGCATTAGCTATACTCAGATTAAATGAAGAAAAGATCATGGCAGTAGATGATCCCATGGAAATATTTCAGGTAGTTCAGGTAAGTTTAAGTTTAATCTGTCCCTTATTATTATAATACGACAGGGTGAAACCCGCCCTGCCAATTGCGTCTATCAGCTGAATTAGAGATGTAGCGCGGATTTCACCCTGTCAAAATAAAACTGCACTAAACTTTGAGCGAAGATATCTCGATGCCCACTTGACCAAATTCGATGAAATTTTTTTTATTTGAATTCTATGAATCCATAGAATTCAAAATAAAAAAATTATTAAATTTGATCAGGTTGTTGTTGAGATATCTTCGCTCTAAGGTTTAGAAAAAATCAAAACGCCTATTAGAATTGAAGCTACGCCAGATTTTTTAAAACTTTGAGGGAAGATATCTCGATAACTACCTGATCAAATTTGATGAAAATTTTTTATTTGAATTTTATGGATTCATAGAATTTAAATAAAAAAATTTTCTTCGAATTTGGTCAGGTGGATATCGAGATAACTTCGCTCAAAGTTTGGAGCAGTTTTTATTTTGACAGGGTGAAATCCACAGGTTTTACCTAATTTAGCTGATCAACGCGGATTTCACTAATTGGCAGGGCGGGTTTCACCCTGTCGTATTATAATTATTCAGCTGTTATTAATGTGTCTTATTAAATCTATAAATCATTTTTAAATTTAGAATATGCCCAAGAGGCTAATCGATTGTCACAAATTGATCGAAGTAGGATTTTTTTTTTTTTTTGCATTGTTATTTGAAAGAAATTTTGAAAAATAGATTTTAAATTTTGTCATAATAAATATTAGGGATGCTTCCGTCGCCGTGATTGTATATCTGAAATATCCCAAAAGGATATTGATCGGCGTCGAGAACTTTTCCGTGAACGACGGAAAAAGCGGGTAGGAACCATGTTGTCTAAACATTAGTACGGGGTGTTTGATAAATATTGTTTATTTTGTTATTTTTTTTTTTTATTTAAATTGTAAATCATAGAATATAATTATATACTTCATAGTAAATATGTTTTATGTATTGGGTTTATCATTTACAACACTTGCAATGTGCAAGATGTTAGTTACAAGGCTGAACTATTAGCTAAATTAGTGTTATTGGGTATTGGGAAATATATTAGAGAACTTGAAATAAATTGTTTTTTAGATATTATAAACTTTTACATTATATAAATAATTGCATATCCTATATTCATTAACTTTATCTCATTTTAAAAAAAGGATGCGAAAAAACCAAATCCAAAACCAAAACATAGAAGTGCCTTTCTTCTGAAGATTTCCGGCTTCATGTTTAGTCATGGTGATTCATAAAGAAATTTCCTCTAGGATTTATTGCTCTGAATCGAGTTTTTGATAGACTTATCAACTAGCAATAAATCAAAATTGTTAATATATATATATGTATCTGATATGTATTTCTATTTTTTTTTTTTTTTTTTTTATTAAAAAAAAAAACTGAGGATTTTAAAATTGTCGATTGTTTTGGCTTTTAAGATGGCAATTTATTTTTTTATATATAAATAAAGTTATGTAGTTCTAATACAATAATTTTATCCAAATTGCTGAATTGAAAGAAACTCCTGTAGAGAGATGTGTCTCTCGCGTGATAAATCCAACATATATTCCATATATCATATGATCTCGCGCAAGATGTGAGATGATGTACTATTAAACTACCAATTATTAAAATACTATTTATCTCGCGTGAGATATAGCTTATGTGATTTAATCGCGTGAGATATGATATCATCTCACATACATCTCTAGGGTAAACTGTATAGAGACAATATGGCTTACTGTATCTACTGGTATATCATATATATATATAATATATATAACAGATAATATATATTTAAATATTAATACTCGGGTATAAATCATCGCCCAGCTCTTAAAAACCGGTAGAGGTACTCACGTCAGAAATTTACGGTAATTTATGATTTCACTCATTTAAATTCTTATTATTCCATGATCGCATAAAATTAGTGAAAAAAAAAAAGTTCCAATAACACTTAATTTCTCCAACAAACTGTAAACCATTTTCGAAAGCTTGTCCCTTTCCTGATTAAAGTGATTACAAATTGTTAAACATCATACAAAGAATAACGCCCTTATTTCCCACTACGGGGAAATAACTCGGTAGATCTCAGGTTATATGAGGGCTCTTCGGGTCCCCATATAATCGGAATTTACCCCTTATTCCTGCCGTTGCGAAAAATAAATAGTAAAAGAAAATAATATATTAATTTTCTTATTGTATAACATTCGGCCGAAGCTAAGGTACCCTCTCTGGGACCAGAATTCTTTATTATAGTATGAATCACAGATGCCAGAACTAACCACAATAAAACTTTAGATTGTCTAATTTAAGTAGTCCCGTCCCGTACGAAGTAACTTGATGTACGTATAACTATATATATTTGGTTATAAAACCATTTCAAATAATGTTACCGGTAAACAAAAATTAACATAAATATATACTGTACTATACTGTATAGTATACGTATAAAAAATATAGTGTTTTTTTCTTTATTTTAATAATAATTTTTAAATAGAACTATTTAATCATTGTTATATATTATTACGTATAATTTATCATCAAAAAAAAAAAAAGGTGAATATTTGATATCGTTATTATATCCTACCGCTACGTACTGTCCTATTAAACCAATTAAATTTGTAACCATTAATTACCAATTTCGGGGGACGTCTAAAGCGGAGTAGATTCTTATAATATATATTTTATCGAATTAACTTTAGGGTTATGGTCATCTTGGATTATGGTTAGAGCAGGCTTTAGACAATTATATATAAACAAAATTGCCTTCCCGACATTTTTACTTAGTAATTATGTCGATAAAATAATCTAATTGTTGCTGGCGGTAACAGTGCCTGGATTTTATTTATACAGTAGTTGTATTTAGAGTTAGAAAGGCTATAGTATATAGTAAAATTAAACAATGAATATCTTTTGTTAAAACATAGAAGTTGATTTCATAGACATGGTTTTGAGTTATTTTGGTTTGAAAATTTTGAGATTCTTGTAACTGCCGGTGACAAATAGATTTGCCTCATATTTAAAAAATTTAAGAAAATGGTTTATTTTTTTTTTTATTATACTGTACTCGATCTTAAATTTTAATTATTTCGAATTTCGGCCCGAATTAAGCTTAATTTAGGCCGAAATTCAAAATTACACCCATGCTCATTATTTCGGACCGGGGTAAAATCGCCGTTTACTTCGATTCTTCAAAATGTAAAACGATCGTTGCAATCTTTTAAAAACATATATAAAATCCGATAACAAAATATTCTAAAAATACACATTGTTCGCCATAACCAAATTTCCACTAATGATAAATAAAAAAAGAAATAAAATTATAAAAACTAAATAAGGCAAATGCAATTACACCAGAAAATCTTATAAATGTTATTTTGAATGCTCTTCCGGAAGACTATAGCTCCGATTATTTATTTGGGCAAAAAGTTTTATAATTCGGAATCCAGAACGCAATAAAATCCAAATAGTAACAAATAGATCGATAATAAAGCTTTAGAAGAGGATTATAATTGTTTTAAGAGGCAATGGAATACTTAGAAAAATCGTATTAATAATACTTTCTGACTGTAATAAATATTATGTTTTTTTTGTTGAGTTTATTTGAAATAATAAAATGATTATTTTACTGCTTATTGTTATTATTTTTTAGTCTATAAATTTTTTGTTCGTTCAAGTTAAATTTGTCACGTGATAATCGAAAGTCGATTTTACCCGGTCGTTATTTCGCGACTATATGGTAACCAATTTTACTCTAAAGCAAGATAGGAGAAATATTTTTACCGAATACATGTCACTTAGTTATGCCAATATCTGGCTATAACGATATCATAAAATCTTTCTATATTAATATTTTTTTTTTTCAGATTTTAATATTAAATTCATTGTACAGCATTTGAAATTTTTTACTAATATCTCAAAATGTTATATAACTAGAGCGACATGCATATCTCCGTCAAACTCTTCCTACAAACACCCATCTTTCCTCGGCAATCTTTAATTTCTCTTCCAGACCTTTTTTTAATTATT